TCTCTCGGATAGACAGCATGACCCTTATATACCATGGTAGCTATTAGTTCTTTTGAATATGATTGAAGGGTTGCCTTGTCTTGAGAGTATTGACTGTGCCTATTAGTTTTTGTAGAATAGTGTTTCTTTAACATTTTAAGCCTTTTGCTCAGTAGAATTTTGTGGGGATATTATTTGCAGTGCAGAATAGAACAGTGGCTCAGTAGAATTTTGTGGGGATATTATTTGCAGTGCAGAATAGAACAGTGGTGAAGAGCACAGGCTTTGGACAGATTTTGCTTTGAATTTCAGTTCTGATCCTTGTTCCCTGTATGATGTTGACCAAGTTAGTTAATATCTCTAAATCTGTTTTTTTCCCTCATATTTAAATAGAGATTATCATGACTTTTATAAATATGATATAACACATAGTTCTTAGTACCTGGTTAGTCATATAAATAATTAAAAATTTATATTTTAGGAAAGAATTAACCTGATATTCAGTAAGTACAGTTCTTAACAATGCAGTTATTCCTACTTTGGGAATTTAAAGGCTACTGTTGATCATTCCCTGATTTATATTGATTTAAGAACTAGAAAGCAGTTCGTATTTGTCATTTGCTCTGCATACAAAATGGACAATTTATTGTTATTGTTAATATTGGTTTTTCAAAATTCAGTAACTTTACAGCTTCTTTCCCCTTTATGTATTAGTCTGTAGCTTAGTACCATTTGGATGGTAAACCCTGTATCGAGCATTGGCACAGAGATGAATGAGACACAGTATCCCCACCTTTGAGCAGCTCCACAGTTTAGTATTAGAATATTTTTGGCTAGAAAATTATTTTGAAGCATAAAGAAACTTTTGTTTGCCCAGATAATTTTCATAATCATATTCACATTTTGATATATTTTTGGTTTTTCAGGAAGTTTTTTCTGGCCTATATTCTTTCATAATACAGGTTACAGCTTGTCTAAGTGCTGAAATTATTGGTAGACTGATCTTAGAAGAAGGGAAAACCATATAAAGTGGTTGTATATTTTGTACAGTGGAGAGCTTTACAAATGACTTAAATTGTTAGGATATTATTGGTTAAGAAATAGGGGTTTGGGCCTTACTTAGCATCAAACAGACATTTTCTTTTCCAGGGGCTCAGCCTAGTTGCTTAATTCCTGCCATATATCTTATAAGCTGTCAATATGTCATATCGAATACTCAGCTGCAGAGCTCTTCTGTCATGCTTGCTTTGAAAGCATAGATCATGTTTATTGTTTAACAATAATATTATGTGGTTAATCTGGGAAGCCAGAATGGCAGCATGATTTTGAGTGCTGATAAGCCAGTATTTGAATCCCTGATCTCTCCCTTGTTTGCTGTGTGACCTTGGAAAATTTATTAGCTTTTTAAAGACTTAGTATCCTTATGTGTAAAGTGAAAGTAATAATAGTAACCAGTTAGGGCTGTGAGGATTAATGTGCTAACATACTGAACACTCCACAAATATGAAGCTATTATTGTTAAATGATTAAGATGGTTAATTGAAGTTAGTGAGAGGTGGATGGTAGATGGCCGTCCAAGTTGGATTGTGCATTGAAATAAGAACTTTGTAAGTATGGTGATGGAAGGAAATATTCTATGTGATAAGAAAGCACAGATTTAGAGTATGTGACTGATGGAAAATTTTAGTTTGCAGGTTAGAAAGGGAAAGGGTTCAGAGCAGTCCAAGCATCTATTTATACCTATCTTAAAATACACAAATTCATGCAAAAAGGGTAGGGTGTATTCATCTTACAAATAGCTTTGGAGAGTTGAGAATATATTTCATTGTGTAATATGCCAAGTTTAATTTTTCTTTATCCATCTGGAGCAAAAGAATTTAAGCATTTTAATTATACAGTTTGAGAAATAGTTACTTTATGCCCTTTTTGAACTAGTTCAAAATTTTATGCTTATATTTTATCAGTTTCATAGTTAAAATGCATAGGTTTGTATTCTTAATAAAGATGGATTAAATCATGAAATTAGTAGTAGAGTTAGAACATAGCATGCGTTAAGTTGTCTGTTGCTAAAACGGTAAGTGGGCAGTAGGCCTAGTGTTGATAGAATGAAGTGACTTGCTTAAATTCTCCTTAAAATACAAAATAAAGCTGAAAGCAGTTATCAGAATGTAAGGCACTCAAAGCCAGTATATCCACTTATGACTTATTCATTGTCATTTATGCATCAAGTAAATGTTTATTGGTTATCATTTGCTCTAGGTGCTGTTTTAGATACCATTGGATATATAATGGTGAAGAAAAACCAGACATGGGAAGTAACTGGGATGGTTTGTTTTTCCATTTAGCAAGAAAAAGAAAACCAGTTCTAGGAGACTTGGAAGATTTTTTTAAATTATGTTTTTCGGTTTACACTACTAATAGAAAAGGCCATAAAGGCAGAGAGCCTGTAAAGAGCAAGTGCTTCTGACTGCAACCAACTGGAGCTTTTTTGAC